CATCAATGTGGGTCTAGAGTCACATGTAGGCCAGGTAAGGATGACAGTTTCCTTCCTTAAAGGACATGAGTGAACCAGATGGGGTTTTCCTGACAATCGACAATAGATTCATGGTTATCATTAGATTCTTAATCCTCGATATTTATTGAATTCAAATCCCACCTTCTGCTGTGGCAGGATTTGAACCCAGGTCCCCCAGAACTTTACCATGTCTCTGGATTAACAGTCCAGCGATAATACCACTAGGCCATCGCCTCCCCTCACTTGCCATCTATCTTCCAACTTATCTATGTCCTCTTGCAGTTCTACAGTGTCTTCATCACAGTTTAGTCCCTTGATACTGCAGTGGTAATGTCACCACCCTATTAATGCAGAGACAGGTGAATGTTCTGGGCACATCGATTCAAATCTCATCATGGCAGATAATGGGAGTTGAATTCAATTCATAACGGCTGGAATACCAGCTAGTTTCAGTAACAGTGACCATGAACCTATCATCCATTGTTGGGAAAAACCCACCTGGTTCATTCATGTTCTTTAGGGAAGGAAGCTGCCATCCTCACCTGATCTGGCCTACACGTGACTCCAGTCCCACAGCAATTATAGTCGACTCTTAACTAGCCTCTGAAAGGGCCTAGGCAGCCAATCAGTTCAAGGGTAATGAGGGATGGATAACAAATGCTGACCTTGCTAGTGGCACCCACATCCTATGACAGAATAAAAAAAAACATGAGCGCTAGAGAGAATGCATGTGAATAAGACGCTTGTGATGCAGTGGTAATGTCTCTTACCTATGTGCCAGAAGGTGTGAGTTCAAATCCTACACCTTTCCTAAACATAATATGACCAGACAGGTTGATTAAAAACTTTTTTTTTTGACTGAAAAAGCCTGTGATTTTGGAGGGTCTTGTCATATTACGTGAATTTCTGGAAATAAAGGCTAATAAGAAAGGAAAGGCTTGTCCTCAGCGTTTGATTGTTTCACTGCCTGGGTGTCTGAGTTCTGAGAGATATCCCCCAGTGACAGCACTGTGATAGGAGATAGAAGGATCCAAGGATTGATTGCTGGGGGGTGGTAGCTGCCAGAGGTAACAGCACAGGAGCTGGGGGAGAAACCAAAGCTGATGATTTTCTGGCAATGAATAGACAGGTGGGGAAAGGGAGGGGTGCAATGAGACCTGGGTGTCCTTATAAATTAAAATACAGCAAAAAACTGCACATGCTGGAAGTCTGAAACAAATCACTAGAGAAGCTCAGTAGGTTGGGCAGCCGCAATGGGGAGAAAGCAGGGTCTATGTTTCAAGTCCAGTAACCCTACAAAGAGTTCACTCTGCTTTCTGTCCACACATGTTGCCAATCCTATTAAGTTTCTCCAGCACCTTCTGATTGTGTCTTTGTGAATGAGTTGTTACAAGTAAGGATGCAGGTGTAGTGGGCAGTGAAGAAGCCAAATGGTATGATGGGGATTCATGTACAGGGATGTCCTGCTGCAATTGTGCAGGGCCTTGGTGAGACCACAGCTGGAGTATTGTGTGCAGTTTTGTTCTCCTTATCTGAGGAAGGACGTACTGGTGATGGAGGGAGTTCAACAAAGGTTCACCAGACTGATTCCTGGGATGGCAGGACAGACTTATGAGGAGACACTGGATCGGTTAGAACTATATTCACTGGAGTTTAAAAGAATGGAGGGGAATCTCGTGGAAACTATAAAATTCTAATAGGACCGTACAGGGTGAAGACAGGAAGAATGTTCCTGATGATTGGAGTGTGTAGGGCTCAAGGTTTAAGGATATGGGGTAGGCCATTTACATCTGAGATGAGTAGAAATGCCTTCACCCAGAGGGTGGGGAGTCTGTGGAATTCACTACCACAGGTAAACTGGTTGAGGCTAAAACATTGTATGTTTTCGAGAAGGAGTTAGAAATAGTTCGTAAGGCAAAAGGGATTAAAGGGTATGGAGAGAAAGTGGGAACAGGGGACTGAGTTGGATGATCAGCTATGATTGTATTGAATGTTGGAACAGGCTCGAAGGGCCGAATGGCCTACTCCTCATCCTATTTTTTTTTTCCATGGCACCAAGTGAGAGCTGACCCAGTTAGCAGGACAACTATAAAGAGGTGGATTAATCGATTATTTAAATATTCCAGTTGTCAGAGATTTACTGGTTCACACAAAAGAAAATATTTCTTGACAATGTAGTGCCTCACACAAACTCATTTCCCATAATGTCAAACCAGAGAAAACATGCCTCTAGCGAAATACATTTTTCCTTCTTAAGATGAACTGCCATTTTGTTAATTGTAACATTCCTAAGTGAAAGGGGCTCAGTGTAGTTAATTCAACTTCCAACCAAATTCTTTCACAAGCTAATAATTAAAAAGTTATTGAATAATAGTAAAAAAAATCCATACTGTAATGGCTCACCAGGATTAAATACAGGGTCGAAACATGCCTGGTAATAGAGTGTCACTGAAGAACTCAGTCTCACTCCATCAATAGCAAATTCTACAGGAGTGCCTTTTAACAGGTGTAAAACTCCTCATTTACGCATCTCGGGGATCATATAAATAACAGCTCAAACAAATCTCTGCTGTCCCTAATCGTAACTCACAACAAATCATGTTGCCCCATCACCTTTGTGCTGACTGACCTCTGTTGGTTCCCATCTGCCATTGCTGTGTTTTTGAAGGTATCACTTTTGTTGGAAGATCCCTCAGTAGCCTCCTCCCTCCCTCTCTATGTAATTGCCTTTAGCTCCCTTCAGCAGTTTGAATCCAAAAATATGGAGATTATACTTCAGTATACAGATGTAGTGTGTGTTGGGGGCAGTTCAGAGAAGCTTTCCCAGACTAACATCTGGAATGAGTGGCTAGTTTTATGAGGAAATGTTGGATAGGATAGGCTTGTATCTGCTGGAGTTTAGAAAAGTAAAAAGCAATTTGACTAAAACCTGAGGGGAGGTGAAGATGTTGCGAAACTTGAAAAGGTTCAGAAAAGATTTACAAAGATGTTGCCAGTGTTGGAGCTATAGGGAGAGGCTGAGGGTATTTTCCCTGGAGCGTCAGAGGTGGAGGGGTGACCCTATAGAAGTTTATAAAATCATGAGAGGCATGGATAGGGTGAATAGTCAAGGTCTTTTTCCCAGGGAAGGGGAGCCCAAAACTAAAGGACATAGCTTTAAGGTGAGAGGGGAACAACTTAAAAGGGACCTAAGGGGCAACATTTTCATGCAGAGGGTGGCGCATGTATCGAACTAGCTGCTGGAGGAAGTGGTGGGGGCTGGTACAATTACAACATGTAAAAGATATTTGGACGGTTATTTGAAAAGGAAAGGTTTAGAAGGATATGGGCTAAATGCTAGCAACTGGAACTAGATTAATTTAGAATATCTGGTTGGTGTGGATAAGTTGTACCAAAGGGTCTGTTTCTGTGCTGTACATCTCTATGAATCTCTGACTCTAAGTTGAAAGATATTTCCTCTTGTGGTAGAATCTGAAACTAGGGATAACTGTTTCAAAATCAGCAATCACTCATCAGACAGAGATGAGAAGAATGTTTTTCTCTCCATTAGTGGTGAGTCTCCAGGACTCTTCCTCAATAGGTGGTGATTGCAGAGTCCTTGAATATTTTTAAGGCAGAGGTAGGTTCTTGATAAGTAAAAGGGTGAAAGGTTATCAGGGGATAGGTGTGATCATGGAGTAATCAGATCAGCCATTGTCTTTATTAATGGTGGATCAAGAGGCCGAATGGCCTAATTTGTGTTTTCACATGTGCGTCTCCACTCCTTGAATCCTCACCCCTCCAGCTTCCTCAATTTGAATCTTTCAGCTGCTGTGGTCCCCACCCCATCCCTGGAATTCTCTCTAATCCACTCTTATTTGATTCTCTTTCTCTTACATTCTCTCTTTTTCTGTCTCATTCTCTCTCTCTGTCACATTCTTTCCTCTCTCTGTCTCATTCTCTCTCTCTGTCATGTTCTCTCTATCTGGCTCATTTGCTGTCTCTCTCTCTCTCTCCCTGTCTCTCTTGTGACACTCCTAAAATACTACATCTTTGAGCAAACGTTTGATTCTAAGTCACATCTCATGAGATGACTTGGCATCAGGTTTTCTGTGATTATTGCTGCTTTAGAGCATCTTGGGATAGTTTCCTTGGTTATAAGTGCTATGGAAATGCAGGTTGTTGCCCTTGTAACTCACCAGGTTTACCAATGGGATACTGCTGTGCAGATAGACCATCAGGTGTCCCACTGCTAAACTTTATGTCTGTTTATGGGAGCTTTCTGTCACCATAGTCTAAAGCACTTTGCCACACCCAGGGGAGATTAAGTATAAACTATCTGTAAGGCTGGGTGCTATAACAACGCACTCTCGCTCAATCCTCTGCTGCATTGTCAGCCTAGATTCAGTGCTCAGACCTGGGGTAGGGTTTGAACCCACAGCCTCTGACTCATCATTAGCCAGTGCCAACAAACCTGATGAAGTTATTTCAACTACAGAGAAGGGTGCTTTGCTTTGGACGGACCCTCTTAGTTTCTGCCCACTGCTGAACAGTGCACAAATACAAAACCCTGCTGATGAGTAATAGCAAAACATTCTGATGGCCAAGCTTGCTTTAATTGAGTTGAATTGAAACCCTTTTCATGCCTATTAGAGTCTAATGGGTGGTGAGCATGTGGCAGAGTTAACTTTCCACTTGTTGACTTAATTCTGAAGGAGAGAGGGGAGACGCAGGTGCAATTTGCCTCACATAGGTGCTAAATGTCTGAACAAATTAACCTTTCGTGCAACAGTTTATCTGTGGAATGCTGCAGACCAGTCATTGATAATAGTGTTATATTCACTGCAGTACGTGAGATTATTTACATCTACATATTTATAAAGCCGCATTTATTTTCACTGATGATTTGCATTGTCTGATGTTCTATCTGATAAGTCACAGTGAGTTGACTTGCCTTCTGTTTGTTTATTATGTTGGTGCATACATAATTCCTACATTAGGGTCCAAAAGGTGAACCAGGCCTATTCCCCATTAAAGCGCCACCCGGAGAACAGGTAAATTGGTCTGGGATCTCATCTGTGTCATGGGGAGTCTTATGTGTAACGGTGTCTGTGCTGTCCATTCCTGTACATCACTGCTCGTTGTCTGCATGGTGCACGCTGAAATATTCTTCTCTTTGAAGGAGGCTTGGTTACCAAAGAAATGAGAATTGCAGAGCCTGGTCAATGTGAATGGTTTCAGTATGAAGACGTGGGTTTTTTGCAAAGTGTTGATGTGTTCTGCATGTCTTGTTTCCGCAGTTGTCATCGGTGTTCCATCTGTATGTGTTTTCTGTTTTATGTGGGTTTGGATTTGCACGGGTTCACAGGGTGTGGGCAGGGAGACCTGGAGGGTCTCACTGTTGTCCATTAGCTTTTCATGTCCTTCTCGCATGTGGTGTTGGATCTGAATGATCTTTCCAACTTGCATGAGATTATTTGGGAGCAGTGATCTCGACCTTTTGTCAGTCAGGGTAGATTTAATCAAATTGGTGTCTTTAAAATGAACAGCACCAGCATTTAGGAGGTTAGGAACAGCAGGAAGCTATTCAACCCCTTGAACCTGTCCCACCATTCAATTAGATTATGTTTGATCTCAACTCTCTTTACTCACCTTAATGTCACGTTCCATGATAACTTCGCAAATCAATCTCAGTTCTACTTGTTCCGTTCAAGGGAGAGTGCATGAGTATTTCTGCAGAAATGCTGTTGGACTTCTCTCCTGAATGGTGTGGCTCTAATTTTAATATTGTCCCACCACTGTTTTCATTTCAAATCTCACTCCCCACCTCCTTCCCCTGTCTCCCTCAAAATCTCCCTCCCCACCTCCTGCTCCCATCTCCCTCCCCTCTTCCTTCTCCCATCTCCCTCCCCACCTCCTTCTCCCATTTCCCTCCTCACTTCCTTCTCCCATCTCCCTCCCCACCTCCTCCTCCCATCTCCCTCGCCACGTCCTCCTTCCCTACCTCCCTCCCTACCTCCCTCCCCACCTCCTTCTCCCGCCTCCTCCCGCCTCCCTCCCCCATCTCCCTCCCCACCTCCCTTCACATCTCCCTCCCTACCTCCCTCCCCATCACTCTCCACATTTCCCTTCCTACCTCCCTCCCTACTTCCCTCCCCATCACTCTCCACATTTCCCTTCCTACCTCCCTCCGTACCTCCCATAAATACATAAGACATTATTTTGTTCATCGTTCCAAACTAAGAAGGAGGGAACACTGCTCTCAGGTAACTTCCTGTGGAACAATAGCCCTGTTAAAAGTGTGATTTTACATGCTCTTTCAATTATAACTCATTCAGACTGTGATACAAAATCTTCTTTCACCTGATTTCTCAAGGCTCACTCATTGTTTAGTCAGTCTTCATGTCGATGATTCTGGAAGCTCCTTGAAAGCACATAAAGACGTGCTCACATGAATTAGGAGGAACCGGAGGCCATTCAGCCCCTCCGTACCTGCTCTGCCATTCAATGGCTGTGCTGATTCCTGCTTGTCCTAAGTAAATATGAGCCCATTCAAACAGGGTGGTGCTAGGAAGTGGGAGATGTTTGGGGGCGGGGAAGGATTTTCTCAAAGATTTCAAGGCAAACTGCTGAGATGTTTACCTTGGGAGAGTTGCCTGTGATTTAAAGTTTACTCCTCTCCCCCTTTCCCGGTGTAAACAACTGATGTCCACAAACTTTGCAAACATATGGGTAACTGACAGCGTCTCTGGGGGATGGGGAACGGATGGGTGGTGGGAACAGCCTCTCATCATCTCCCCTTTCAAACCCTCTGGGGAATATGGATTTCAATGAGATCTACGTTCTCATTCCACACAGAACAGAGAAGGTAGGAAAACACTAAAGATATTCAATCGAGCACAGAATCATACAACACCGAAGGAAGCTATTCAGCCCATTGTGCCAAAACTAGCTCTTTGGGTGAGTTGTCCAATTTTCCCCCCTGCTCCTGCCTTATCATCAAGTGCCCTGTAACTTTTTCCCTGGTACCTTCTTTGAATTCAGCATGCTACACACCTACCAGAAGTGATAGTAGAATTTCCTTAATGCATAAAATATTTAGTTTGATACCTTTGTATCTGATCTTGTGATTTTATTTTTCTTTATCTCTCTCTCTCTCACACACAAACAGGGCGATCCAGGTCCCATCGGTCCAATTGGTCCTCCTGGTCCACCAGGTCAAAAGGTAAAAAGCTGCTGTTTGTTCATAAAAATTTTTCATTGAGAGTATGCATTCAAAGAAAAAGAATCAAAATGTTGGAATGTCTTGAGCCCTGCCTTATTTTCTCCATCTGGTGAACTTCAACACATTGTTTTCTTGTAGAATTGGGTTTTGCTTGCTTAAAGACAGAACTGTTTCAGGAAAAAGTGAATTTGAACAGGCAATACTAACCTGCTTGGGGATTTTAAAATGTCAGTGAACAATGTCATTGTGCAGCAATGATTTGAATTCTATCCTGGGAAAGTGTCTGAAATGAGCAAAGTTCCATCTTTAAATTCATGGTGTTGCATTAATGGGACTGGGTCCTGACTGCGACTCTAACCATCTCCTGGTTGATGTTCCATTGTCTTCATCTTCGTAAATTCCAAAACTCCACAGCCCTCTTCCTAATTCCCCTCCAGTGCCAGTCACCCATCACTGACCTACCTTGGATCCCAAGCTGACAGTTTTGAAAATTCTAATCCTTGTTTTCAGATCCAACCTCTGTGCCCCTCCCATCTCTGTAACCTCCACCAAGACGTTGAGTGGCTTGGAGCAGAACTTGCCAGTGGTGGGTGTTCCCTTGTTTCTGCTGCCCTTGTCCTTCTAGGTATATGTGGTTGTCAGTTTAGGAGATGCTGTCTAAGGAGCCTTGAGGAATTTATAGAATCCCTACAGTGTGGAAACAGGCCCTTCGGCCCAACAAGTCCACACCGACCCTTGTAGCATCTCACCCAGACCCATCCGCCTATAACCCACACATTCCTGAACACTATGGGCAATTTAGCATGACCAATCCACCTAGCCTGCACATCTTTGGGCTGTGGGAGGAAACTGGAGCAAACCCGAGCAAACCCATGCAAACACGGGGAGAATGTGCAAACTCCACACAGACAGTCGCCCGAGGCTGGAATCAAACCCGGGTCCCTGGCGCTGTGAGGCTGCAGTGCTAACCACTGAGCCACCGTGCCGCCCTTGAGGGATTGAGGATTCCTTGAGGAATTTATGCAGGGCATCTGCTACTGAAAGTTGGTGGTGGAGGGATTGGGTGCTTGTGGGTGTGGTATCCATCTAGTGAGCTGCTTTGTCCTGGATAGTATTAACCTTCTTGAGTGTTGTTGGAGCTGCATCCATCCAGGCAAGTGGGGAGTATTCCATCACACTCCTGACTTGTGCCTTGTAGATGGTGGACAGGCTTTGGGGAGTCAGGAGATTAGTCACCCACTGCAGGATTCCTAGCATCTGACCTGCTCTTGTAGCTGCTGTGTTTATGAAATTTAAACAATGGATAACTGTTTTCCAATGCTTTCTCCATGGCAACATCTCGACTGCTCAGAGACCACTTGCCAACTAACCAGGAGCCTGTTTCTCATAGAATAAATTGGTGTTCCTCCTTTGATGCCTTGGCATTCTTGTAAAGCTGTCCTGATGAGGGCGGGGCTGTAGATGTTGTCTACATAGACTTTAGCATGACCTTTGACAAGGTCTCTCGTGGCAGGCTGATACCAAAGGTGAAATCACATGAGATCTGCAATGAGCTGGTAGGATGGAAACAGAACTGGCTTAGTCATAGAAGACAGAGAGTAGCGGTAGAAGGGTGTCTTTTTGACTGGAGATCTGTGACCAGCGGTGTCCTGCAGGGACCATGCTGGGACCCGTGTTGTTTGTAATACATATAACTGATTTGGAAGAGAATGTAGGTGGCCTGATTAGTAAGTTTGTGGATGACACAAAGATTGGGAGAGCTGTGGATAGTGAGGAGGATTGCCAGAGGATACAGCAGGATATGGATAGCCTGGAGACTCAGGCGGAGAAATGGCAGATGGAGTTTAATCTGGATAAATGCAAAGTGATGCATTTTGGAAGATCTAATGCAGGAGGGAAGTATGCAGAAAATGGTAGAACCCTTAAAAGCATCAACATACAAGGGGAGGCAATGGCCTAGTGGTATTATCACTGGACTGTTAATCCAGACACCCAGATAACATTCTGGGGACCCGGTTCAAATCCCACCATGGCAGATGGTGGAATTTGAATTCAATACAAATATCTGGAATTAAGAGTCTAATGATGACTGTGAATCCATTGCCGATTCTCGGAAAAACCCCTCTGTTCACTAATGTCCCTTAGGGAAGGAAACTGCTATCCTTACCTGGTCTGGCCTGCATGTGACTCCAGACCCAGCAATGTGGTTGACTCTGAACTCGCCTCTGGGCAATTAGGGATGGACAATAAATGCTGCCTGGCCAGTGACATCTTCATCCTGTTAATGAATAAGAAAAAAATACAGAGGGATCTAGGTTTCAGCTTGCTGAAAGTGGCAACACAAGTGGATAAGATGCTCAAGAAGGTGCATGGCATGCTTGTCTTCATCAGTCAGGATCTAGAGTAGAAAAAATGGCAAGTCATGTTGCAGCAGTATAGAACTTTAGTCAGGCCGCATTTAGAATATTGTGTACAGTTCTAGTTGCTATACTACGCGAAGGATGTGGAGGTTTTGGAGCAGACACAGAAATAGTTTATCAGGATGTTGCTTGGTTTGGAAGATATTAGCTATGAGAAGAGATTGGACAAACTTGGCATGTTTTCAATTAAACATCGAAGGATAAGGGATAACCTGGCAGACATTTACAAATTTTGAGAGGCATGGATACAATAGACATTCAAAGTCTTCTTCCCAGGGTAGAAATGTCAACTACCAGAGCGCATATGTTTAAGTAAATTTAAAGGAGATACGAAAGGTAAGTTTTTTACACAGAGGGTGGTAAGTGCCTGGAACACACTGCCAGAGGAGATGGTGGAGCCCAATACATGTCACGTTATGGCTGTACAACATTGGTGAGGCCACATTTGGAGTACTGCATACAGTTCTAGTTGCCCTGCTATAGGAAGGATGTTATTAAACTGGAAAGGGTGCAAAAAGGTTTACAAGAACGTTACCGAGACTGGAGGGTTTGAGTTAAAAGAAGAGGCTGGATAGGCTGGCACTTGTTTCCCTGAGGCATAGGAGGCTGAGGAGTGACCTTATAGGGATTTATAAAATCATGAGGGGCATAGATAGGGTGAATAGCTAACGTGTTTTCCCAGGTTAGGAGAGTCCAAAATTAGAAGGCATAGGTTTAAGGTGAGAGGGGTAAGATTTAAAAGGGACCTGAGGGGTGACTTTTTCAAACAGGGGTGGTGTGTGTATGGAACGAGCTGCCAGAGGAAGTGGGAGAGGCGAGTACAATGGCAACATTTAAAAGACATTTGGACAGGTACACGGTCAGGAAAGGTTTAGAGGGATATGGGACAAATGCAAACAAATGGGTCTAGTTCAGTTTGGGAAACTTTGTTGGCAGGGAGGAGTTGGACCAAAGGGTCTGTTTCCATGCTGTATGACTCTATGACTCTATAATAGTAATGTTTAAGAGGCATCTTGACAGGTATATGAATAGGCAGGGAGTAGAAGGATACAGAGCATCCAGAGGCAAAAGATTTTTAGTTTAGAAAGACATCATGTGTTGGTGTAGTCTTGTGGGCTGAAGGGCCTGTTCCTGTGCTGTACTGTCCTATGAGTGCAAGATGAGAAGCTTTGAGGTTTTTTCACCAAAATTCAAATGACATTCGAGCAAATAACTAAATGGTTTCTTTTTACTGCATATTTCTTCATCATGCGTTACTCATTGCCATTTTAAAAAAAAACTAAATAAAGTTTCTGTTGAATAATTATCAAAGTGATAATCTTTGACATTTAATTTGCAATGAAGTTCACTGCTGCAAAATTTGCCCACATCTCATTTTGAATGAGGCATAAGGAGGCAGCTATTCTTTAGGTCTTGATGATGTGTTGATTAAATATACAGTGGAATAATTGTTGCTCGGGGATTGTTAGTCAGACTTTGTCTTCTGTGTCACAAACTCCATTCCAATGTCACCAACTCCATCCCATTTCCTGGCTGCTGTCTTCAAGTGGCTCAGTGTCTAATTTATGCTTGAAGCTGTTCAGAGGAATGTTTCCTAGACTAATTCCTGGAATGAATGGGTTATTTTATGAGGGAAGGTTATACAGACTAGGCTCGTAACTGCTGGAATTTAGAAGAGTCAGAAGTGACTTTATGGAAATATCTAATATCCTGAGAGGTTATGACAGGATGGCTGTGGAGAGAATGTTTCCTTTTGTGGGACAATCTAGAGCTCGGGGTCACTGTGTAGGAATCAGGGGTTGTCCTTTCAAGGCAGCGATGAGAATTTCTTTCTGACAGAGGGTCATGAGTCTTTGGAACTCTGCTTCCACCACCTTTTGAGGAAGAGAGACTTTGACTATTTTTAAGGTGGACAGATTCTTGCTACGCATAGAGGCTGTCATAACTGAGGAAACCTGACTAGGAAAGGAACTTCATTTATTGTTGAACACCAAAATAGACCCATTCCTCGTGTTGTACGTAGACTAGTCTTAACCCGGGATAAACAATGCTGCAGACCCATCTCTGGGCGTCCTTTGTAAAGGGTTTAGATTATGAGTTGAGTAAGCCATTCAGTCTATCAAGCCATTCAATGAGATCATGGCTCATTTGATAATCCTCAACTCCACTCTCCTGCCTTTTCTCCATAATCCATAATCTCTTACTGATTAAAAATCTGTCGCTCTCATCTTTCAATATACTTAATGATCCAGCCTCTACAGCCCTCTGTGGTAAATAATTCTACAGATTCACTCTCCTCTTATTGAAGAAACCCCATTTGCCTTCCCTATTAACCAACAAACTTGAATATTAGTGATTATTGATTGATGTTTGAAGACTTGTACACCTCTTCCAAATTTCCCTTCAACACTCTTCTCCGCAAAGATAACTAGTCTAGCCTTTCCAACTTAACTCCATCGCTATAATCACTTCAGCTCTGGAGCCATTCTTGTAAACCTCCTTTGAACCCTCACTTCCTCCACCACCGATGCTCAGTCGCAGCAGTGCATACTATCTACAAGATGCACTGCAGAAATTCGC